TCATGTCGCATTACTGCAAATGAAGAAGACTTTCACAAACTAAACAATGCAAACGATTGACCCGTGGACTCACTTTTCAGGCTATTTTTTGATGTTGTACAAGGCAATGAGGATCGTGAAACAGCTACGCCAAACTAGCTCGTCGAATCGATTGTTTAGCGTGTTATCCAAATGTCTGTGGCCTGCATGCTAAGGCTAGTATGTTTTAGAACAACGTTGTTTTAAGTGATTACAATATTATTTCGTTAAGTGAAACTCGGCTAAAACGCTCATTTTCATCACCTGACTACAGTAAAACCTCGTTATAACAAAACGGGATATAACAAACTAATGGATATAACAAAGCAATCATAATTCCCCTTGCTTGCTAATAGTGGGAAGAAATGGACATTGGCTATAACAAACTAATGGTTATAACGAAATAATTACAACCGCTCCTTCAACTTTGTTATAACGAGGTTTTACTGTACTTCCATTCCGAATACACAGTGTTTTGTCCAGACCGAGATTATGAAAAGGTTCCTGTTAAATTCTGTAGTGGTGTACTTATTGCAGTTAGGAAACATTTCTGGGCTATTCGTCCATTTAATCTTGAATTCCAGTGCGAGTGCGTTTGGATTGAAATAACACTCCATGATAACACTAGTTTACTAATCGGCCCTTTTTATTTTCCTCCTAATCTTGATGGATCTAGGTTTTCAAATCAATTGGATATGCCGGTAAATAAACTAGATCTAGACTGACCTCGTATACTCATTCTTGATGATTTCAACATTCCTGATATAGAGTAGAATTTGCAACATATTGCTCTGTTAACTGGCACTGCCTCATTTAAAGAAAATGCTCTTTTCTCATTCGTTAACTCCCCTGGATTTACTCAATTGAATAGTTTCCAAAAGTCAGCAGGACATGTGCTGGATCTGACCTTGGCCAACCTTTTTCTGGACAACACTGAGCCTGTTTCCAGTCCGCTGAGTATTACCGGATGTTTGGCATGTTCCCTTTTCCGTTTCCTTTATAGTTTCCACGTGGGAAAAAAATTATAACGAGAATTAGTCACTTGCTTTCTCAAGGTACAATTACTTTGGCATTTATTAATATTTAGATAATGTAGATTGGGCACGCATATATAGCTTGACCGACGTAAATTGTGCCGTTGAAGCGTTTACAATCTATATCGTATCTGCGCTTGTACTCTCCGTTCCCAAAAATCATCCTTCTAGTGCAAGTCGCTTTCCGCATTGGTACTTTAGGGAGCTTAGATCAGTTCTAAGAGAAAAAAACTGCATTATCATACGAAATATAAAATTGCACTCGGCTTCTTGGTACCGGAAATTTTCTGCATCGCATGCACTAGCTAGAAAATTGCTCAAATGCAATAAAATATTACATTGTGAGTCAGTAGAGCACAGTTCAAACCGTGACCCAATGCGTTTCTGGTGATATGTAACGACCGTACAACCACTACTTCGTCAACAATACACATAGCTGACTGGTCTGGCATTATGCTGAGTGAGCCTGAAGAAGTATCAAATGTATTCGAGAGTTATTTTTCCTCAGTTTAATCTTGAGGCCCTACCGCACTGCCTATGTCTGTCGACAGCGACAATGCTAGTGATCACCTGTCCATCTTACCTTTTAGAGCGCAGCTCTTAGCCGCCCAATTCCGGCTTGAGCGGTGTCGGCGTAACCGCGCAGAGCATTATGGGTAAATTTCCCCGCTAAATTTAGCAGAAAAACTTCCTGCCAAATTTAGCAGAAAAAATTTTTCCGCTGGCGGGGAATTTTGTTTGCTAAATTTAGCGAGAAAATTTTCCCGCTAAATTTAGCGAAAGAAATGGCCCGCTAAATTTTGCAAAAAAAAAAATTTTAGCGCTAAATTTAGCAGAAAAATTTTATCCACCAAATTCAGCGAGAAACTTTTCCCGATAAATTTAGCAAGAAAATTTTCCCGCTAAATTTAGCAGAAAAAATTTCTCGCTAAATTTGGTGGGTAAAATTTTTCTGCTAAATTTAGCGCTAAAATTTTTTTTTTGCAAAATTTAGCGGGCCATTTTTTTTGCTAAATTGAGCGGTAAAATTTTCTCGCTAAATTAAGCAAACAAAATTCCCCACTAAATTTAGAAAAATTTTTTACGCTAAACAGGAGGTGAGCAGGAAAGGAGGAGGGGCATAGCCTCCTCTCCGTACCTTCCCTTCCTCCTCCTCCTCAAGAGCTGCGCCCTAATTCGGCGTTACAGGGGATTGTAAACGTCTTTCACTTTTTTGAACTTATTGATATTGAACTTTCTACCAGGAAACTCAAGCCAAAGTTTTCAGTCGCATTTAACGGTATCTCGAGCTTCACTGTTAAAGGATCCTCTTCTATTATAGAGCACAGCCCTTAGGCGCCCGTTTCTGGCGTGAGCGGCATTGCCGTTGGCATAACCGCACGGTGCATTATGGGAAATGTCCTATAATGCACAGTGCGGGACCCTCGTGACGTGACTCGTGACATCACAAGGGTCCCGCGCGGTGCATTACGAAACATTTCCCATAATGCACCGCGCGGGGAGTGGGAGAAGTGAGCAGGGGAGGAGGAGGAGGGGAAGGAGGAGGGGTGAAGAGGAGAGGGAGAGGAGGGGTGGAGCTTGAAGCATGGCGGGAGGGGGAGTAGCAGGGAGGGTGAGGAGGAGTATACCCTCCCCTCAGTACCCTTCCATCCTCCTCCTCAAGAGCTGCGCTCTTATTCGGCGTTACAGGGAGTTGTAAATGTTTTTTTTTTTTCACCAGTCTTAACGTATATTTTAACTTTTCATAGCAGTCTCACCTTTCCTTCCCTTCAGAAGAACTCTATTACTGTGCCAGTAAATAATGATGGCAGAACAGACGATGCCAAAAATTACAGACCCGTGTTGTTGCTATGTCCATCTGCAAAGGTCTATGAAATCTATTCAATCACATTTCAAACTTTTTTAAGGAAAAGATAGCCCTTCATAACATGGCTTTGTGTGTGGAAGGTCTGTGAAGACAAATTTAGTGTCATTTTTTTATTTTGTTTCACCTACTGTGTGTCAGCATAGACAAGTAGATGCTGCATATTTTGACCTTTCAAAGGCTTTCAACTTGCTTGATCATTCACTCCTTGTGTATAAATTAGGATCTTACAGCACGAGTACCTCACTTTGCTCGTTGTTCCTTGATTATCTGCCTGACAGACACAAGTACATGTTCTTGGACCTCTTTCCCAGCCCCATGTTCCTCTTTCGGGTGTGCCGCAGGGGTCCAAATTGGGTCGATGTTTTTAAATATTTTTATTAATGGCCTTACCTCAAGTGTACATAATTCAGTCATCTTGCAATATGCAGATGATACCAAACTGTATAGGCAGATCTTATACTTGGATGACTGCGAAGAGCTTACGGACAATGTTAAAGCAGTGTGATATTGGTGTCGTCAGAACATGTTGATGCTCAATCCTTCTAAAACTGTTTGATTATGTCTGTTTAAAATGGCAGGAAAAATCCACTTTTGTAAGCAGGTTGGCAATGTTCCGTTGCAAAGAGTCGACTGCACATTTGGTCTTGGTGTATCCATACATTCTTCCTTATCTTTTACAGTACATGTTAATAACCTTATAAATGACTCTTTTTGTAAGCTCGGTGTCATCTCTAGAATTCCGTGAGAGTTCTCCACGTCGATGGGTATTTTACGGTTAAGCTCTTGTTAATCCGGTCCAAGTTGGAGCTTTCGTCTGTTGTTTGGTATTCAATTAGTTTTACAAGTCAGAAGATGATAGAAAATGTTCAGAAGTATTTCTTTCGAATTTTCTACAATCGTTATATTGGTCGTACTGCTTACTATTCTTATGCGAGACTCTTGGAACGGTGCAGTTGCTTTACTTTGAGTTCTAGATGATGTGCGGAAGATCTAGTTTTCCTCTATAAATGTATTACAGTCTAAGCTCGTTATAACAGACTTTAATTTTAACCTAAGATTTTGGTCAGTTGTAAAAGGAGTATGTTGTATGCAGATATAAAGTTAAGTCAGTAGTATAGAGGAAAACCAACCGAACTTCACAAGTCGGTATGTTATATCCAAATGTCTGTTGTAACCAGGTCTGTTGTAATGAGCTTAGACTGTAGTGGATTAATTGATTGTCTTGATCTCACATCAGCTATTCATGATCCAGGTAGATTTTTGCAGATTTCTCAGACTTTCCACGTTAATTAAATCATCCCAACCAGTCCCATGACCCATACTGTCGAGACCGGTCATAACGAAGTCGGTTCTAACGAAATAGCGGATATAGCGAAGCGATCACGATTTCCCATTCCTTTTTGCACATCGTTATAACCGAAGTCGGTTATAACGAAAAAGCGGATATAGCGAAGTGATTTCCGATTCCTGTTTACTTCGTTATAACCGGTCTCGACAGTATTCAACACTCGTTTAATACCCTTGGTATGGCAGATAGTGATGTTTCTAATTTAACTTTTGTGGCATTTGTAACTAACCCGCGATAAATCTGTTGTGCATAATTATGAAGGTGTCAAGCTGTTCATGAGCACAGAAATTAAACAAATAAATTAATGAAAAAATGTTGGTGCAGGAATTGGAGGTGCTCTTAAAATTCCCGTATAAAAAATTTAAGTTTTAAAGCCAGTTTTGTAGTTGTTTCACATGACAAAAATTCCCGTACGACTGGAAGAGTCCATGCCCGTGAAAATCAACCCTTCTATGCTTGGAGACAGCCTCTTCGAGGCCATCAAATTTCGTCAGTTGCACCAACAAATCGGGTAACAGAAAGGTGCACCTGGTCCCTTTTTACGAACACCAGCAGTTGTAAAAATCGAGACAAACATGGTGCTTGGGATTCCACAATCTTGCCTAATCCCCATCTCCAGTACCAAGGACAAAGCGGTCCCCTCGAGACTCCGCGAGCATCCACAAAGAGATCCCCGGGAGATTTCTCTTTCGAGCCTTTGGACCTGCGCAAGCTCAAATGCGCATGTTCGTACCTTTCGGCGCACGTCACTTGCAGAGGAGTCGAGCCTTGACGCCGAGGAAGAGAGGTCACCCATCGTCGTGTCCCTCCCATGGTCCTGCGGAGGTGAACTCTGACCGATGCCAGACGTGGCGGACACGTCGTCGCTAAGCCTCAGTTGTTGGCCTCTCTGAGCAACAACTCCGATGCCATTCTCCGCCCTGTGCGGCGCTCTTTCTCGCGTCGACGAGGGCGAGGGAGGTGGCGGCGGGGAGTGCAAATCAATGGCAACTGAAGAAAAAAAAACGCCCAGTGGGAGAAACTCATAAGAGTACGTAAAGAAAGGCATTCGAGAAAGCGAGCAATGCAGAAGCAAAAACAAAGTTAGACACATGCGAACCTGTTATTTGGGTAAAGGGAATGGCAAGGTGCAGATTTTTGCCGAGCACTTAGAAGTTTCGAGAGTTCCTGCAAAATTGTGCAATACACTGAGAAACGTGCAACGACCTCTGGAAATAAATGCCTCTCAGCAGCTTCCACAAGTGTTCGGAGATGTCACGGGTATGCAGAAGCCTTTCTAATCTGACCCCTGCCCCTTTTCTTTGACTAGACACATTTCCAATGTGCTTTCATCCTAGAAAAGAGAGGAGTGGCCACCAAACGTAATAAGCGTGTTGTCTCAAAAATTTCGATGTGTCACTCCGTGGCAGTTTAGATTTATGTAGCTGCGAGACCTTCCCAGCGAAGAGGGCTACAAATGTCATGCCTCCAGACACATTGGTCCGCGTGTCTGACCTAAACGATGGAGAATCGGGACCTAGAGAGCTAACGTACTCGGATGGCGTGCCTGTTTCAGGAAGCGACGGGTCGAGCAGAACCCAGGGTGGCCAGATAGGTGGCCCCGACAAACAGTTTGAAAAAGTACCTTACCTACAGAGACTTGAACGGAAGAAAAAATTTTAGGCATGGGCGAATAGAGGATTTTGGGTCCGAATCGAATTCGAAGCGAATAGTGATTTTGGTCGAATAATTTCGAATCGAATAGTTCGAATAGTACTAGCAAAAAATACCACAAAATATGTTTAAACTATAGTTTTATATTTGCTCTTATTTGGTATTTGATATACTGTAATTGTTAATTTCAAGTGTATTGAGTTCGGTAGCACGAAACGGTCGGAAGCTTGCGCCACCTGGCCGTAAATCCAAGCCAGAGTAAGTGAAACCCGTTTATATTGAACTTGCAAAAAAAGTCTACCAGTTCGATATAGCGGGTAATTAGATATAAAAGTTTTAATGAACTTGACTCTCAAAAATCACCTTTCTGCTGAAATATTACACAATGAAGTAGTCTTGCATCTTCTGCTGCTTTTTCTTCATTGCATCCGCGATAACAATATTTTTCTACGCTATCGACGGACTCCAAAATTCTTGGGCCGCTGCCTTCTATATTCGCGCATTAGCGCCGAAATATGCCGAGAGCACGGAGCACGTCCAACGGGAGCACCTCCTGCAGAGCGCCGTTTTGCTCTGTAAGTTGGCTTTCCCCTAAAAGAGGTGGTGCGTTGGGGGAAGCCAACTAGCAAAGCAAGCTGGCTTTTTTTTCTCTCTCTGGGCGGCCGCGTCAATTTGGAAGAAAAAATAATATTCTCTTTTGCGGACGGAGCACGGAGCACCGTCTCTCCGCAAAAGATATATTTTATTTTTTTCTGAACAATCGACGCGGCCGCCCGAAGAAAAAAAAAAAAAAAGTTAGCGTGCTTTGCAAGCTGGCTTTCCCCCAATGCGGCTGCGCGTTGGGGGAAAGCCAGCTTGCAGAGCAAAACGGCGCTCTTGGCAGTTCGATATATCGGTAGCGGCTGCTATTTTTGTTCGATGCAACCATAGTTTTTGCTATATATTATCACTGTAACATTACTGTGCACAACAATTGTTCGATATAAGGAATAATTCGATGTAAACGGGTTCGATATAGTCGGGTTTGACTGTATTTCGAAAGGTCGAATAATTCTATATTGTCGAATAATTCGATATTGTCGAATAATTCGATTTTATCGAATACTTAAATTCGATTCGAAGCGAATACCGAAAAGAACAGAATTCGATTGGCTATTCGTATTAACCGAATATTCGCCCATCCCTAAAAAATTTCCACCACGGAGCAAATAAAACTTGCCATTCCCCTCATGCAAGCTAAACAAAAAAGTAGTATGAGAACAAATGCAACAAAATTTCAAAGGTACAACAAAACCAAGCAGGGGATAAAGTGAAAGCACGACCAACACCGCATTCTTACCCTGTATCCCGTTCACCTTTAACCCGACACTGCAGCTAGAGCTACAAGTAGAAGCTATCCCACACTCTTTGCTTCGAGATGTGCCTTCCTAGAGCGAGCGCCCATTCTGTAGAACATTTCAAAGCCGCATTATTATCCTTTCGCGCTTGTAGCCTTGGCTGCAGTGTCCGCTTAACGTAAGAGTGAATGACATAAGCATTGGTTGGGACATGTAAGAACATTGCATTCCTAAATCTTCGTAAGTTCCTTGGCTGGCTCGCTCAAAACAGCCACTCAGGAAAAATGTCCCACCAAAATATGGCAACAGTTGTGAGAGATGCTCAGGAATGCAACAGTTTTACATTATTCTGTCCACTTTACTGGGAATTCGTTTTATTTTATTATCAGCACACACAAGTATACCAAGTGTTTCAGCGAGCGACTTTCAAAAATTCCTATCATAGGCTGACGAAGGAAAACTCTGTGGGAACAAACTGCCAGACACGGCAGACATCAGGGATTGCAAAAACGAAATACCGCGGAAGACCCACTTCATTCAAGCGGCCACTATTAATATTTCACAAACTTGGGAATTCTGAAAATTATACGTTAAGCACCTGATTATACCGCACAAGCGCCCATGTCTACATTAACCCAGTTTTCAGCGAAAGTGGAGTGGGTGCTCCCACCTTAATTTTACGGTAATTGCATAGATAATTAACTAAAATACACTAAATAACTTTTATTTAGTGAAAATCAACATGTAGCTTCAATCATAAACATGTGAAGCGTCATTTTAAAACCTTTAAATCAGTCAATTTTAGGAGGATTTGAAATATATGCGAAGCTCGGGAGTGTGCTGAAGTTACCTCTCATGCAGCAGGCACGAGGCTGGCGACGTGAAAACGAGCAGGATATTCTTACCGTCCACGTTTTCGCACTGCTAACCTTAAGCCTGCTGCACGAGAAGAAATTTGAGCAGACTCCGATGTTTCAGACATGCTTTGTAGTAAGTCTTCCTAAAATTGATTGATCTAGGGGTTTCGATGATGCTTAGCGAGTTTCTGATTGAAACCATTTGTTTATTTTTAGTAAAGTTCAGTTAACTATCTGTCTAATTACAGTTGAACCTCAATTTATTGAAACCCGATTTTACGAGTTTCCCGATTTAACAAACAAATTCGGATTCCCCGCGCAGCCTATCCTGAAGACTGTCTTTCTCGACTTTACGAAGTTCTTGATTTAACGAAATAATTAGGGGGTCCCGGTGACTTCGCTAAATCGAGGCTCAACTGTATTACGCGTTTTGCCATCCCCGATGTCCGTCAGGGTTGGCAGTTTGCTCCCGAGCTTTTTTTAACACAGATTGTGTTTCACTACAATTTTCTCATAGAAAATCGTCAAGAAAGAGCGTCATGACCGATCAACATGGACGAGCGTCATGAACAAGTCCCATGCTGGGAGCGTTACACGAACAGTAAACTTGGAGCGGGGCTCCAACCCGGGTCGATGCAGTTGGATACCATTGCCATTAAGCAGCGCAGGACCACAGCTGTTGTGGAAGCATTGGGCTCCCGGCAAAACGTGCCGGCAAGAGCGACCCAACATCGTGCGACCGGTCGCCTCATTGACATTGCGCATAGCGCAAGAAAGCAATACAAGGTAGCGTCCATGCAGCGCGTTTGTTCACTCTATCTTGCCCTGGCTAACGTCTGTGGCGCGCAATGAATAAGTACTAACCACACACGAATTGTGGCTCATGGTGGTATCCCGCATACGTGCGCAACACGCGAGACCTATTCTGAGCTAACTGCTCTTTGTCGGCACGATCGAGCAAACAAGTTTTTCTTGCCCTATTGGTAGGAATTTTTTTAAAGTCTTCGCCGAAACAGTTGGGATATGCCTAACTATTATGACTGAAGAAAGGCTTCCAGAATTCAGCACTGCTGTCCCAGCCTTAAAGAGAAACTGAAGCGGTTGTGTGTTCGAGGAGAAACCCTTAAATCACCTTCATTTGCCGCCAGGATTACGACTATTGAGATTACCTTTTCAATTTGGTGTGCGAAGCCCCTCCTTCCTAGAGCATGACGTCATATCCAGAGTTTTCGGAATCTCCATCCTTGCGCATCTTCGGCGCCTATTAAAGCTACGCACGCACACTCTTGCTATTTCTAAAAAAGGTCAAAAAGACGTCACGACTGGTATCAGTGCGAGGGAACATACTTGGCGAGCTTGCAATTGCACGCGCTTGGCAGCCAAAAGATCTGGGTATGACGTAACGACTGGTCGGAGGTTTTTCACATTTTCTCGCGTTTAGTTACAACTTCGGAGAAAACTAAGGTAATATTCAGATTCACGGGATAAAAATAACTTAGAATTCGCCTCCAACTCATTTTATTCAAGAACCTCTTCAGTTTCCCTTTAACATTATGGCAAATCGGGCATGGCGAACGCATTCCTAACTCCAAAGGTTTGAAGATTTTAGCAAGCTTTAAAGCATCGTATTTGAGCCTCAAAATTTTTCATTTGTAAAATGTGTCCTAGAAAAGTGTGATTCTGCCGCCGAGGAAAAACTTCTTCTTCCCCAACCTGCAGCAATGTACAGTGTGCATGAGAACTATGGTGCGACGTCGTGGAGGAACGCCATTGTATGTTTGCAAGTTGCACAATTTTCTGCTCAATCTTCAGTTTGCAAACATTGTGCCCCTTAAGCACAAATAACTGCACAAAAAGCCCTATATTAGTACCTATGTTTTAGGACGTTTTCATGTCGCCATCAACTCGAAGTCACGGAAACTTTCCTGACTCTGCTGCTATCCTGGGGAACTGGGTTCGTTAAATGACGCATCTTCTCTTTCGTCTCGACTAAGACTGCTCGCTGGAACCCTCGACAATGCTGAGGTGCGGTGTTCTGTTGTGCTTAAACCTTTAAAAGTGGGCGCCAAAAACCCAATTCGCTGGGACTTGGAAGGTGGTGCGAGTCGAGCGGTACCACAAACTTTGTTTCATTGTTTTCAAT